GTGGCTGCGATGATGGGCTCAAGTATAGCAGGGATTGTGGGGCTGGCGTGGGATCGGGCAGTGTTTTGTTCTGCTGTGCATGGGGTCGCTATGAGTCAGAAACGACTCGACGGCACTTAACAACAACAATACAATTTGTTTAGAAGTTTTTTGTGTGTTTAGCCTGAGAGTATACAGTCCACATATACACATTTTTAACATCCTAGGAAGCACTCACTCTCTAGGGCCCTTATGTCAAGCATTTACATTAGTAATTCCCAAATGCCAAATCCTACAGGATTTGCGGTACATAAAAGTCAACTGGAAAGTTTGGTCTATTGGTTTTTTAATATAGAATCCCAGGTCTGAGACTTCTCCTTCCAGCCATTATGGGATAACTTGCATTGGACTTGCTTACTGACCTTATAAACCAAAACAAACTACATGAAGCAACTGTTTTCAGGCACTGGGCACAAGACAGCACAGGATATGATCCCTAAGAGTAGGAAAACACAGAAAGTGAGCCTCACAATCTCCTTGGCTTTATGTCTGTGGGTACTTTCAGGACTGTAACACAGGATGGTAGAGCCCAAAATGTCTTACAGAACTGAGGAGGCAGAAATTAGAATCAGATGCTGTTGAAGTGACTAAAATCCATGGGGCAGGGTACCAAAGAAGAGGGAGTTCTACAGAGCAAGAGGTCCTAGAAGTCTGCACAGGCATCATTGTTAAATACTAAACTATACGTGCACTGGACACAACTGTGAGGCCTGACAGAAAACAATTATTCATTCAGGAGGTTATGAGCTCAATGAATATTCTAGAGGTCACACAGTACTAGAGAAGATTTTGATGAGCCAGAATGGAAATTCAAATGAGATCCCAGAGGGCCACACTTTCGGCATAGGTCTCTTATCCCTAAAATAAAGACTACACTAGACTCCTTTCAAGATGCTCTGAGAAAAAATAATACCCTGAATAGAACTCAACATTACTGAAAGGAAGACAATACAATCTAAACCCCAACAATATTGCATCCACAATATCCAGTACACAACAAATTGCTAGAGACGTGAAGCAGCAGAAAATGTAACCTATATTGGGGGGTGCAGGTATCAGTCAGTAGAATTAAACCCAGAGATGACAGAGAAGTTGGAATTAGCAGAAGAAGACTTTAAATCAGCTTTCATAAATATGTTTAAGAACTAAGACTCCCCACTCCTACTGAATTTGGTCTAGGGGAAGGCTCCAGCAATCTGTATTAAGAAGTTCCCCAGGTGACAGCAATATGGAAACTACTGATATCCATTAAGAACCAAAGTTGCCATTTGGTAGCAGCCTGATGGGGCCATACATAAACAAACAGTGAGTGGAAACAGAGGCTGCGGCTCCAGAAACCAATACGCATACACATACACAGAGCCTGATATCTTTCCAGTTCCCGTGAGGCTCAGCAGTACTACTTGTACTATTTCTGTGATATTCCCTTATCTTCCCAATAAAATACCTTGCCACATTCTTCCTTTTTCAGTACTCTTTATACATTTGTTTTTCAAAAATTAGTATATTCCCATGATTCAAAAATTTAAAAATACAAATGCATATTTTTGCCTTTTTGTACAGAAACAGTAGCTATACTTGCTTTTACCACTTAATAGCATGGCATGGAGATCTTCCCATATCAATACATGGAGGGATTTTTCTTCCTTATAGCAGCATAGTATTCCATAGTTTTATAAAATCAAAATAAATAAAATAATAACACTGCCATCGAGTCGATTCTAACTCAAAGCAACCCTACAGAACAGGGCAAAACTGCCTATAGGGTTTCCAAGGCTGCCACATCATTCTCCTGTGGAGCAGCTGGTGGGTTTGAACTGCCAACCTTTTGGTTAACTAGGGGAGCACTCAACCACTGTGCCAGCAGGGCTTCCTATTGTTTATATTCACCATTATTTATTTAATCAGTCTCCTTCTAATGAACATTTCATTTGAAATAAACTCCCTTTTCATTATTTATGACAAAGTACATGTTCAAAGATACCTATTGTATATCTTACTGCTAACTAACTCAAACTATTGGACTGTATCTTCTCAAATGGAAAACTGCCTCAAAAATACCCTCCCACCAGGACTTCTGTTCATAGTATATAAAAGTCAACAGAGCAGCTGAAAGAAGATGGTGATGACAATAGTCCTAGTCCAAAAGTGCCCACGCCAATCTCCAGAACTGAGTAGAGAAACTGACTCCATTAACTGTGGGTGTGTACACCTAAGAAAAGGAGCTCTGGTGGTGTAGTGGTTAAGGCATTTGGCTACTAACCAAAAGGTCAGTGCTTGGAACTCACCAGCTGCTCTGTGGAAGAAAAATGAGGCCATCTGTTTCCATAAAGATTTACAGCCTTGTAAACCCAATAGGGGTCGCTACGAGTCAGAACTGACTCAATGGCAGAATTTTGCGTTTTAAACAAAAGAGAAGCAGCATGGTAAAACAAAAGGAGAAACATATTTGGAGTCAGGTGTTCTGGGTTTGAGCCTCAGCTTCCCCAGTTCCTGGATATAAGATCCTGAGCAAGTCACTTAAACTCTTGAGTCTCAAGTTCCTCATCTGTAAAATGAAGATAATATTTTAACTTCCTCACAGGCTAACTGTGAGGACTATAGAAGATAAATATAGCTAAACTATAGTGTAAATTGTTATTTTGGGTCAATACTAGCAAAAATAATTAAAATTAAAATACACACATGTATATAAAATAAAAAATATATGTATATAATCTTACCAATGAGAGTTGCTAAAGAACAATGAGGTACTGTTGGCGTGAACCTGATAATAACCAGATAGTCTTCTTCATGTATCTCCTGAACCTCCACACAACTTTCTGTTACCACTTCCAGTTCTTCTAAAGTATTGGGCTTCTCTGGGTCCCGGATAGTACGAATCAAATCTAAAAATTCATCACAAAGTATTTTATTAAAAAAAGAATAGTCTAAACAAGGATGATCTTGCCAATCCTAATCTAAACACTGTCTTCTTTTTGTTCAAGCAAACAGTACAGAAACTTGAACTACCAAGTTCCTTTTAAGAAAAATGTTTTCTTGATTTATTAGACCACATTCAGTTTCCTGGATCCAACATTTTAGAATTGCCCCATTTCCAGACTGAATATATGAAGGGTCAACAAGGTACTGGGAATAGATGTACCAATTTCAGGTGGGGATGCTCACCTGGTTAAAATGCAAAGGAAAAACTTAAGAAAAAAACTTAAGAACTTAAGAAGATTCTGGACTCACTCATTCAATAAATACTTCTTGAAATTTTATTACATACACAATTCTGCTAGGCACTACTATGGCAGAGAAACTAATGTTTAGGGAAACTTGGTATAGCACAATGGTTAGGAGGATGGACTGTAAAGGCAGATCTACAGGTAAGCCTGTCACTTAACTAGCTTTACGACCTTCATTCCCCTTGCTAAACTTCAGTTTTATAAAAACAAAGACCAAAATGTATATCATATGGCTGATGCAAGCATTAAATAATACATTTAAAGTGCTTTTGTACTTAGTGCTGTTGCAAGAATTAAAAAATACATTTAAAGTGCTTTCTGTATGGAGCCACACACCTGAAAACATTACCAATTATTACTATTAAATAATTAAAAATCAAGATGGAATATAAGAATGAAAAAAGCATCACAGAAGCTTAAGGATGAATTAACTTTAGCTTAGAAGAATGTGGTATCAAGCTGTAGAGTGAAATCTCAATCAAGCCTTTAAAAATGGGTAACATTACAATGTTTGGCATTTAAGGTAATGAAAAGTGAAGAACAAATAGTTTGCCTGGAATCCAGCGTTAAGTAAAGGAAGGTAGTAAAATATAGGCATGTATCATTATACTGTGTTTCTCTCTACTGCGCTTCGCAGATACTGCATTTTCTATAAATTGAAGGTTTGTGACAACTCTGTGCTGAACAAGTCTATTGGCACCATTTTTCCAACAGCACGCGTTCACTTTGTGTCTCTGTGTCACATTTTGGTAATTCTCACAATATTTCAAACTGTCTCATAATACTATTATACGTTTAATAGTGTAAACATAATTTTTATATGCACTTGGAAACCAAGATTCATATGACTCGCTTTATTGTAATATTTGCTCTGTTGCAGTCGTCTGGGAACCAAACCTGCAATATTTCTGAGGTATGCATTTATAGGGTTTGTGCAGATTACCAAGAGTATTTTACACCATGCTACAGGTACGATGGGTGCTATCAAGAGGTTCTGAACAAGGGAGTGATAGGATAGCATTGTGCTGTGACATGCGCAAGGGGCAATCTGATGGAACTTTGCAACAAACACTGAACTGTGGCATAAGATTTAAGAGCACACCAAGAGTAGCTGTAGAACCTATGAAATTCACAAAGGAGAGAGAACAGTAATTTTCAACATTAACTGAACACTGCAATCACCAGGAATGCTTTTAAAAATATATATTGATGACTGGCAGAACTAAACACCTTATGGCATTGGTTTACTGGATTTGAAGGGTTAGGATTATAGTCTCCTGGTACAACTCAGCCAATTGTCATAACATAGTTCATAAATATAACGTTCTACGTCCTTGTTTAGTAAGTAACATCTGAAGTCTTAAAAGCTTGGAAGTGGCCGTCTAAGATGCAACTATTAGTCTCTACTCATCTGAAGCAAAAGAGAAAGAAGTAAATCAAAGACTCAAGGAAGAAACTAGGCCACAGAGCTAACAGCCCACAGGAGCTATGGCCTCTTCCTACCTGAGACCAAAATAACTAGATGGTGCCCCACTACCACTACTGACCCTTCTGACCAGGAGCACAATAAAGGTTTCAGATAGAAAGTGAGAAAAATGTAGACCGAAACTCAAATTCCTAAAAAAAGACCATATTCTGATACAGACTAGTGGAATCCCTAAGACTACTGCCCTAAGATATCCTTTGAACATGGAATTGAAGCCATGTGGTATTCACCCTTTCATTCAAATAAAGACTGGCTTATAAAAGAAACAATATCACCCGTGAGTACTGTGTGTTCCCTTAAATATTCAACTATATGAAACCAAACAGTCAGGCTTTACCCTACCACAAAGATGAAACATGAAGGAAGGGCAGGAAAGCTAGATTGATGGAAACAAAATAAACAGAATGGAAAGAATGACAACCCTGACACACTGTGAAAAATGTAACCAATGCCATGGAACATCTGCATAAGAGCTGTTAAATGGCATCCAATTTGCTGTGTAAACTTTCACCCAAAACACAGTAAAATATATATTGCTATAGGAGCTCTGGTAGCATAGTGGCTAAGACACTTGCCTGCTAACCAGACGGCTGGCGGTTCAAACCCACCAGCCACTCCTCGGAAGGAAGGTTGGGCAATCCTACTTCCGTAGTGATACTGCCTCGGAAACCCAAGGAGGGGTCGCTATGAGTCGGGGCCGACTCGACGGCACATAACAACAACAACAACATCTGGATCCTAGCCACAGAGACTCTGATTTAATTGGTTTGGAGTGTGGCCTAGGCATTGAGAGTTGTAAAAACTCTCCAGGTTATTCTTATGTACAGGCCAGTTTGAGAACCACTGGTGTAAAGGGAAAGAGACTCAAGGATAGACCAGCAGGAAGCACCTAATTTAGGGATAAGAGCAGAAAGCAAGAAGTAGAAAAAGGAAGAGGAGTGGTTAGCAACATCAAATGTCACAGAAAAACTCAGGCTGACAAGTGTCACTCAGGAGGTCACTCATAAGAAAATAGTTTCAGTAGAGAGGTGAAGGCAGAAGCCAGTTTGCAAAAGATGAATCGAGAGGGAATTAAAAATGCAGTCCTAGGGCCTTGGCAGGGAAGGGAAGGGCAAGGAAAGACAGTAGCCTTAGAGGAAGCCAGATAATGACAAGATAAGGGAAACTTGAGTACATTTTATAGCCAAAGGGAAAGGATCAAAAAGAGGAAGAAGGATTGAAAATACAACTGGGCAGGCAGACTAATAAATACATAGAAAGGAATGGGATCAAGGAAATGGGAACTCTGCAGAGGACAAGATCTCCTTCTTACTCTGAGACTGTACAAAAAGATGAAGAGCAAAATGATAGAGAGATTGAAGTAGAAAAGAGAGCAGCAGAAGGAATTCATGTTGGATGAGCTTGATGTTCTTGAGTCTGAGGTTTTGTTCTGTTATTTACAGTACCCCTATGGAAGGCTGGGCGATCTATTTCCGTAGCGATACTGCCTCGGAAACCCAAGGAGGGGTCGCTATTTGTTGGGTCCGACTCCACGGCAATGGGTTTTATGACCAGAAATGCAGCTGGGAAAATCATTCAAACTTTATTTTCTACCAGCTATCTCCAGGCTTATCACTTGAATAGAAATGAAAATTTGAAAATGTAGGCAGGAAAAAGAGGATAAAGCTCTTTCTCAAAGCTGTGACGTCATAAACCAAAAAACCAAACCCCCTGTAAGACACACAGCGACCCCCATAGGGCTTCCAAGGCAATAAATCCTACGGAAGTAGACTGCCTCATTTTTCTCCCATGGAGCAGATGGTAAGTTTGAACTACTGACCTTCTGGTTAGCAGCCAAATGGCTTACTCACTGTGCCATCAGAGCTCCTCTGTGACATCATGGGGCTCTGGATAACAAGGTTTTTGAAAAGGCCATTTCTGCTCCTTCTATGCAAACTTATCTACATAAGCTGTATTATACTCTATAAATGAAACTTAACCCTAAAATTAAATCTTATTCCTTATTAAACTTCTCTAGTTCTTCAGTGATTTGAGAAGTATGGATTTATTTCTTTAGAAAGAAAGCAATCTTCACATTACTCATCAAACCCAAATCAGTTGCTGTCCAGTGGATTCTGACTCATGGCAACATCATGTATTGCAGAGAACTGAGCTCCATAGGGTTTCAAGGCTGTGACCTTTTGGATTCATGGCAACCGCACATGTGTTACAGAGTAGAACTGTGCCCCACAAGGTTAAGGATATGATCATTCAGCAGATCTCCAGGCCTTTCTTCCAAGGTAGAACACAGTGGATGGGTTCTAACAGATAACCTTTCAGTTAGTAGCTGAGTGCTTAACCATTTCTGTCACCCAGAGAGACTCCTTAAGCAACCTGAGCCAGATAGATGACAATTATGAATGGAATGAAGTCCCTAAAGCGGTTGGACACATTCCTGTCCTGCAATGCCTCTGTCTACAGCAGACCTAAAGGTTCTGGGATGCAACTTTGGAAGAGATGATCCTTTGCCCTTAAACTTATACTGAGGGATACTTATGTAAGTGAAAATAGCTATAGTATGCTATAGACCTCAAGAAGACAAACAAAAATTCAGAGGAAGGAGAGATACTAATCTCTGATGGGGGAGGGAGGGGCTGGAAAGGCTTTAAGAAGACTCACTTAAGTCTTAAAGAGTAAGTAGAATCTGGATATATAGAAAGGAGTCCTGGTGGACCTGTAGTTAAGCAGCTCAGCTGCTAACCAAAAAGGCAGGCTTGTTTTTTGGTTGGTTTGGATACACAGAGGGTCAGGGCATACTAGGCAGAGGAAACTAGAACATTAGTATGGACTTCATCCCACTCATAATTTACTCTGCAACACATGATGTCACCATCAGTTGAAAACCACTGGACAGAAACTGATTAGGTTTGGGTTTAAGTCAGTACTGCCTCTAGCAAGAGAGAAGTCAACCAATCACCTCCAAAGGTCTTCCCCAGCCTCAACTTTCTTCTATAAGCCTTACCTGAATTATATTTGTATTCTTATGGCTGGATCTTTTACCTGAGGACAGCAGGAATCTCTAAACATTAGATTCAATCTTTTTAGTTTTCAAAAATAACACTACATGACTCCCCCCAAAAAAAAGGAGATCCATGAAGTTACCGATAAGTGGTAGAAAGTGCACTAAGCTTAGAATCAGAAAACATGGGCTTTAGGTTTTTGGCCCTGATCTTTGCTGGCAGTGTGACCTCGAGCTAGTTGTTTAACCATTCCAAGGCTTGTTGTTGTTATGTGCCGTCAAGTCAGCCCTGACTCATAGCGACCCCTCCTTGGGTTTCCGAGGTAGTATCACTACGGAAGTAGGATTGCCCAACCTTCCTTCCGAGGAGTGGCTGGTGGGTTTGAACCGCCAGCTTTCTGGTGAGTAGTCAAGTGCCTTAGCCACTATGCTACCAGAGCTCCCATTCCAAGGCTTAGGTTTTATTTTTATATTCACACATACACACATACACATACTGCACTCCAGCTCTCAGGGCCACATTTAAAGGCACTGTAAGCTTGAGGCCCTGCTATGAGGAGCCTATCTCGTCCTCTTAGGGATCTCTGCCTATTGACTTTGCTTAAAAAGAGTGACTGTGACCTTGAACAAGTCTCCAACTCGGGCGACACCGACCAGTGCCCTCGGCAGGAGGAAGAGTTGGTATCCAGTGAGGGACTCGGATAAGCTCAAATATGCACTCAAGTGGTGGGGCGTAGCTTTGCTTCCTAACTAAGAACCCTAGACTCCTCTTCTGCCCAGGTGTCTTGGGATGGCCACTAGGGCGTGGGGCGGAAAAGCTGAATGAAGACCTTCCGACTTGGCTTGTCCAACGTTTAGAAAAAGCCCAGGCCTCCCACATCCACATCTGACTTAGAATCCCAGAAAAAAATGCTTCCCACTCTCCCGACGAAACTCGGCGAAAAACCCAGGTCTCAACTCTAAGATCTCTGGCCAGGTCCTACCTCCCAACCCCCACTGCCTTCATGTGTAAAGCCAAACGCCCAGGGTAAATTAATTACCATAAACCTCTAGCGCTTTCTCTTCCATGATCCGGGGCTGCCGGGCAGCTCCCCGTTCAGAGAGGCCCGAGAGCCACAGGACTCTGTTCAGCGTCCAAGACAGCAGCCCAGACAACCGCTCCATCCTCATACTCCGCCATCCCTGGCGACTGTCCCACCCAAGCCACCGTCTTTCAACAGCCGGTCTAGAAACTTTAAAACTTCCTGGTCTTCAAACAGGCTAAGAGAATCCTAAACAGTCCAGGACAGCAGAGATAGGCGGGACCGGAAGGAGTAGCGCAGAGGACATTGGGAAGGGTGCTACAAGTACTACAAGCCCCAGCATGCATTAGTAAGTTTCGGCGGGACAAGGGGGGGGGGGGAAATCGCTGCACGTGAAGCGCATTGCGCGCTGGGACGAATGGGTCGTTCTGGGACTTGTAGTTTCAGCCGGGAAGAGGTGGGTGTAGAGGTCTGGTGTGCGCCACTGATTGCTTTATCCAGCGCTCGAGATAAGCTAAAGAGGAATCCTGAAGAGGTAGGAGAAAAGAAGATTTTGGTTTCTAGTAGTGGAGAAGGATGTGCTCAGAGATTGCTATTTCCCCGAGGAAGTTGCTTCCAGCCAAAACCTTTCTTACTTCCTGGTCGTGCCGGAAGTGAGTTTCCGTTGCTGTGAAACGGGAAGTATTGGGAGCCTAGTAAGGACGTTTAGGCGTTTGGGAGGAGCGTTTTGGAGTTTACTCGTCTCACAGGGCTTCAGTACAGCACAACTACGGATTGGAAATTTCTGCCTTAAAAGACAATTTAGAATGGGAGAACTTTCTCTGAAAGAAAGGAGCTCTGGTGGCGTAGTGCCTAAGGCATTTGACTGCTAACCAGAAGGTTGGTGGTTCAAACCCACCGGCCACTCCGCTGTAAGGAAGAGTGGGCAGTCTACTTCTGTAAGGATTTATCCCCTCGGAAACCCAAAGGGGGAGCGCTATGAGTTGGAATCGACTGAATGGCAGTGAATTTTTTTTTTTTCCCCTGAAAGAGGTGATGACACATTGGGGATCACCTTCCTAAGAAGAATGTCTTAAGCCCATCAACGTTCATGCTGTGTGGATGACAGTAACCAGAGTGATGTTAAAGCGTTTTACCCATCCATCCCTCATTTCAAATCTCAAATATTTCTTGGCTACTTAATTTGTCAGACACTGCCTATGGACACGAGGTTACAAAGGTAGCTAAGACCCAGCCGCTACCCTCAAGAGACTTACAGACCTATGAGGGAACCAACCCCTGATGCTGAGCAATTTGCCATTGGAAAAAAACTGAAACATTTTGTCAAAGTTGATTGCAAACTTCATCTCGTCTCTATTGAGAAGAAAGTATTATCTTGAAGAATTATCCCATGGTTACATATCCTATTTATCTTTAAACTCCAGGCTTACTTGTTTAGCTGATTGATACTTTTAGGCTCACCAGACAATCAGTGAATAGTTAAGGTCCCAGGAAAATTTTGTTCAGAAATTGATAATTCCTCGCTATCTATGCCACTCCATTTATTCCACAGCAGTTGAGAGGATAATCCTAACTTCCTTCCAACGAAATTTAGGACACTTGGATCTCACCTCTTCCGTGAAGCTTTCCCAATTTTTTAAGCAGAGTTGATCGCTTTCACGGTGCTCCCAAAGCACATTTTTGAACACGTTCAACTGTTGATTTGCATGCCAGACTCCGTTAGTAAATTGTCAATGCTTAAGCTCCTTAAGGCAAGGAGCTTCTTTATTTCTGTACCTCAAGAACATAGCACGGTGCCGGTCACGGAGTAGGTGCACAATAGATATTTCTTTTTTTAAAACAATATATATTTCTTGACTGCATTAACGGAATGTTTCCAAAGAATAAATGGCGAGACTTTCTGCAGTCTGTTTAGAGAACTCAATCAGAAATATTTATTGCATCCTTTTAAGGGCACTGCAGAAGCTCTGGTGGCATAGTGCCTAAGGCATTTGACTGCTAACCAGAAGGCTGGAGGTTCAAACCCACCAGTCACTCCTCAGAAGGAAGATTAGGCAATCTACTTCCCGGGTGATACTGCCTGGAAACCCAAGGAGGGGTCGCTATGAGTCCGATCCGACTCCACGGCAGTGAGATTAGTTTTTAGTTTAGTAAGGACAATGTGCTCAGTAGGTGTCATGTAGAGGTTTTTGAACTTTTTTAGCCACAGACTCCTTTATTCAAGAGAAGTCTCCCCAGGAAGCCAAAGCTATCCAGAGCACACAGGAATCTGAGCAGCAGCCCCTGGCTCCACCTTTTCTGCGCTCTAAATTCCCCTCATTAAGACCTCAGCGTTGTGGTCCTGGGCTGGCTTTGCTGAAAATGAACCATCCACCTCGGCCCCGCCCAGGCCCTGCCCCCAGCGCCTAAGCCCAGCGCCTGTTCCACGGGGTCGGTCGCGGCGCTCCCACTCCTCCCTTAGCTGGAACGCTTTGCTCTCGGCGCTATCTCTCTATAAAGTTGTTGTTGCGGCTTCCGCCTCGGGTGCAGGAAGATGGCGTCCGGTGGTGGCTGTAGCGCCTCTGAGCGACTCCCTCCGCCCTTTCCCTGCCTGGAACCGGAGTCTGAGGGGGCGGCTGGGGGATCAGAACCCGAGGCTGGGGACAGCGACACTGAGGGGGAGGATATTTTCACCGGCGCCGTGGCAGCCGTGAGTTCGCACCCTTTGGGGTGGCGGGCGGGCGCCCCAAAAGGGAAGAGAGGCTAGATGAGGGTTGAGAAGGCTGGGCAGAGTGGGCCCGGTTGATACTTCGCCTCATCTCAGTCTCAGATGATACTTCGCGTCGGTGACAGCAATCTGGGCGGGAGCCTGGCTGAAATTCGAGGCACAGGGCCTGGCTTCTCGGCCTCTGGGCGGAAGGTGAGGAATGAGGGGTGTGGTGGTTTCTCCCGCTAAATCCGTGATAGCGAAGAGCCTGCGAGGCCGTCATTTGGCCCAGCTGTGTAGTGACCTCACGAATCCTCGGGCTGTTTTGCTGCTTGGTTGTTACCCGGACTGATCTAATAGGTCAGGATTAGGGAAGGGAGTGCAGGCAGACCTTCCTTCCCTACGCCTCACTACTCCTAGGTCGAATAATGTTACCTGGAGTGGCCAGGGATAGTGAGCCGCCCACAAATCCTTTCATTAGCATAGCACCTACTGGTAATTACCAAAGGTCCTTTCTGGATATTAGCTTATAAGTGTTAGTTTGTAAATTTTTGTTAGAGGTTAATGATAATAAAAGTTTATTTGTAAGATTAAAAAAAAAGTTAGTTTGACTCCTCTGATCTCTAGGAAAATCTGGCCTTTTCTGGCTGACATGAGGCCTTGCCAGATAGAGGACTACATAGCCCAGAAGGCGTTGTCCTTTTTAAAAGGATGTCTTATAAAATGCCTGAGTACCTTCTGAGGGAACAAATCTGTAAGTGCGAAGAGGAAATGGTTTCATAAGAGTTAGATGTTGGAGGAAATAATCTTAATGTGTGGAATGAGGAAATCAGTAATCAGTTCTGAAACCAGTGCCAACGTTTTGGGCTGTTTTTGTGAGAATACCGATTCATTTCATTTGGTATGGTTCCTGCCAATTGTAAACTTGTTCAATGCTGCGTCTATGAATTTATTCATCTTTCTGGATTGGATGTTTCTCTTTATAGTACCTACTCAGTATGTGAGTGATTAAGTAAAACAGCTTTAAATTCTTTATACAGCCTGTGTCTGAAAAAGTTTATTTCCTGAGAGACTGTCATTTTTGTCAGAAAAGGATTACGTTTCTTGGAAATAACCTTGCTAAAGCCTCCAGTAACAATCATTAAGAGTTTTTCCTACTCTGTATTCAGGCATTGAGTCCATAATCCCATCTCATAAACTGCTTAATGATGCTAATAACTATTCAAACCATTTAATGAAGGCTGTGTTATTCTAAGAAACAATGTAACTCTCGCTACTATAGATTTCAGGTATTAGGCTTTCTGTATACTATTTAAAACGTTGTTGTTGTTGTTATGTGCCATACAGTCTGATCCAGCTCATAGCGGCCCCTCCTTGGATTTCTGAGGCAGTATCACTAGGGAAGTAGATTGCCCAACCTTTCTTAGGCTGGTAGATTTGAACAGCCAGCCTTCTGGTTAGCAGTCAAGTGCCTTAGGCACTACGCTACCAGAGCTCCTATTTAAAACATATCTATGGTATATTCCTTGACTAACTCACTCAGAAACCATGGAACACAGTTGCTGTTGATAACTGCCTGGAAATAATTCACACTGGATATCCGAAAAATAGAAATTCTGGCACCAAAAGTGATTGGCTATATAGACAAATATTGATGTCTTTTCAAAAAAGGACCTTGGAAGGGTGAAGAGTTATTTTCTAGAATTATCTAAAGAAATTTAAGAAGATGAGATTCGGTGGATCTCATGGAATCCACTTGATGAGCAATGGATTGATTTGGTGGGGTTTTTTTGCAACAGATTACTTTACCACAGGGCTTCTAACTGGTTCATTCTGGTTCAACCTCCTGCTGAAAATTTGCATTTCTACCCTAGATACAGGTAAGCTAGGTTACCCACCATTTCTTTGTTCAGGCAATGTTCGAACCTGAACCTCCTTAGCCCCATAAGGTTTTCTGTTTTGTTTTGTTTTTAAAGGAAGGCATCTCTCTTGGTGTTAAAGACCCCAAACCCAGGCTCTTACAGCACTACCCCACGGGTGGGATACAGGGAGGTGAGACAGAGGAAATGGTTCTAGGCATGGGTGCTCGTGCATTGTCCGGATGGCAGGCGGGTGTGTGAGGGCTCACTTTGCTCGCTTCCTCTGCTGGTGCCACTGCAGCTGCCAGTTACTCCAATCTCCTCCAGCAGCAGTAGCAGTAGCGGTAGCAGTGATGACAAGGATGACCTAACGGAAGCAGACTCCCATAAGGTTTTAATACGGCATCCAAATCACATAACGTCCTAGTCCTATTTCACAGAGCATGTTGTGGACATGAAACAACACATACCTGCATCCTGAATCAGAATCTATATTTTAACAAGATTCTTATTAAAATATATTCTTATATATACATAAGAATCACCTGGGGATCTTGTTAAAATGTAGCTTTCACTATAACTGGGATGGAAATACCGATTCTCAGAAGGGGATCAAACTAGAATGAACAGATCTGAAGTCCTGTTTTACAGAGTCAATACCTCTCTATTGTGTCTGTAAAAATCTGTGGCCTCATTTCCAGCTAAGGACGCAAAAGGTCAAAATAACCTTGTGTTACCACAGAAAGCATAATGAATTTTATTTAGATTTTGATCCAGGAAAATTGACTTCCTAAGGAAACTAAAATACCACCTGTAAACCTTT